GGACGCTGAAGCAGACATCTCCCTCCTCCTCCACTGGTCAGGCAGCAGGGCAGGGGGCCTGAGTAAGACTATGGGGCTCTTCCCTTTGCTGAGGCCAGAAAGGACAAAGACACACATGCATACGTGCGCACACACACACATACATGCACACGTGCCCGCGCACACACACACATGCACACACTTCATTTCCTGAGTACCTGGCTCCTCCACTCCGTACTCCAGCTGCTCTGGTAGGAAAGGAACAAACTTAATTGTCACTGAAGGGCACAGTGAATTCTCTGGCCCCTGGGAGCTGTTTGTGGAGCTGCAAAGGTTACACTTAGATTGAGGCCAGAGTAGCCGTAGCCACCTGCATCCAAAGGGAAGCCCCTGGGCCTGGGAGACGGCCCAGTCAGCAAAGCATGCAAAGACCTGAATTTGATTCCCAGGACCCATAAAAAAGAAACAACAAAAACAACAGGGTGTAGTGGCACATGCTTATAACCCCAACACTGGGGAGGGAAAGACAAGCTGATCCCTGGTTTACTGGCCCACCAGCCAAGCCTACTTGGAGAGTTAGTTTCAGGCTATGAGAGACTCTGTCTTTCTCTCACAACTATAAGCCTCTATACTGCCACCTTGTGCCACCCCATTCCTTTCAGAGCTCAATGGAATGCCTGCCCAAGTTCTTTGTCAGTGAGGAAGACAGAAGAGCCAGCTCTGAAAAACATGGTCAAGGGGTCACAGTGAGTCTTCTGTGCCCTCTCACCCCAACTCTGGGCAGAGCGCTGGTTTCTCTGCAGTCAAGGTAATTAGGTTTCTTCTGCCTATAGCTCCCCAGGCCATGAAAAACTACTGGCCATCAGAGTCAGGGGCAGCTGTGTTAGCATGTTCTGCCCACAGATGCCTCTGGGACATCCTTGCCACAGCAGTTGAGTCAGAACGCCACAGGGCCAGGCTGTATCTTTTCCATTTCAGGGTGAGGAGCTGCTTGGTGTCAGTCTTGTTTCATTGGCCAAAGGGTAAGAGTTGGCTCTGGGCTTTGTCCTTCTCAGGAGACTCTCAGAGAAGGTAGTTCTGTGAGGGAAGCAGGCCCTGTCAACTTCTGCTTTCCCCACTGCTTTAAGGTCTCTAGAAACTAGAAGTCTCATTGTGGTGTGGGGTGAAAAGGGGCAGAAGGGTGGAGGGGCCCTGGGGAGAAAAATAGCTCCTTAAGTTGGGGCCTGCTCGGAAGCCATGAGGAGCAAGCGGTACCCAAAGACAGAGATAGTAGGCAGCTCTGGCCCCAAGCCAGGAGCAGGTGGTCATTAGAAGCCAGGCTCCTAGCCCATCCTCGAGAGGCCCTGCAGGAGCTCTGGCCCCTTTTTCTCTGCCAGCTGTGCAGCCTGGTATGGAGCAGTACCCAGAAGAGCCTGCCGTACATGCAGCTACCCAGGGGACAGGCTGCGTGACTCATTCCCCCCCTTGCTAATCATTCCCTGTCCTCTGCCTGGCTTCTCGAACAGCCTGCCTGCCCCTGGAGGGAAGCGTGCCCATCTGACACCTTACCCGCCTGTCCCTAGCTCTCCTGGCACATTCATCTGCCCTTGTGGCTGCATCTGCTCTGTGCACTCTCCAGGCCCAGCCTGTCACCTGATGCTCTTGTCTTTCCCAGGGTATAGTCTGTACTGTTCTATCCAGTGCCTTAAGGGTGAGTCTTGCTCCCAGCATGCAGGCTGTCAAATCAGGAAGCCTTCAAGTAGCCTCTCTAGCCACCTCAGCATATAGGACAGAATGCCTACCTTGGAAACACCTTTGGGAATAAATATCAGAGTGTAGTGGTCGGCATCTATGTTTTCCGGGCACGAGGAGTCCTTCCCATGACTCCTGTCAAGGGAGACAACGATGGGCAGCCCCTTGTCTATGACTAGAAGAGTCTAACCCAAGCTGGCAATGAGAGGCCCTAGGAGTATCAGATAAGGGCTGTGTTGGGCCATGGAGCCAGCCAGGTGAGAGGGAAGGGAAGGAGAAACTCCCTTGGGCTGACTTCTGGCAGATAGGCCTGATGCCAGTGTCCAACAAGGGCACTCCACACCTTTCTGGGCTTCTGCAGAACCAGACATTTGATCAACTTGGTCTCCAATCTCTTCTAAGTTTTCCTGAGCCATGGCAAGGGGGAAATTCTCACTTGAAAGCTGAAGCGATGAGAAAAGCCAACATTATTGTGTGTCCTTTCATAAATGTAACAGAGCCTGCCTTAGTACAGACAGAATTTGGCCTTACACACTGTGACTTAGACAGGCGTGGGGGACCCTGCCCTTAGGAGGGGTTGAGAATGGTTTACTCCTCCACTGTGGCTGTCTTGAAATTCTACAAGGAGCCCCACTTTTAAAATTTTGCTCCAAGTTCTATAAATTACATAGCCTATGTGGCCCAGAATACTTAGACTATGGGTCAATAGGAAAGACTCTGAACATATCTGCCATGGTTTTGCTTAAAAAAAAAAAATTGACCAGTAGATGGCAGAGCCATTAGACATTTCCTTATTTCCAGTGCCCGAGGAAGGCAGAGAGTGAGCTTATTAGCAAAGTGCTTGGTGAGGATGGCATCATTCAGGTGGCCTGACAAATCCTACGTCCACAGCAGTCAGCATCCTTGGAAAGTGGTTTCCATCAAAGCTCTGTGGGAACATTCAGACATATCCCTCAGGGATAGACTACGTCACCTGACATCCATATTTCCACAGTGCTAGGGCTAGTAGCTGTGGCATGACCAGTTTACTTCTGGGAACTGAAACATTTCCCAGACTCCCTTGCAGCTAGATGTGCCCATATGATGCAGTACTGGTTAACAGGATGTATGTGGAAATAACTACCGCCATCTAGACTTTAAACAGCAGCTGACATGTTCCTTTTCTTTGGGGTTGTAGTTTACTCTTGTCATCTATTTTACCTTTTAAATTTTACGGGTATGTGTACGAGTTTTAGCCTGCATGTGTCTCTGTGTATCTGTGTGTCCAGTGCTCATGAAAGCCAGAGTTGGGTACTGGCTCTCCTGGAACTGGAGCTTCAGAAAGTTGTGAGCTGCCATGTGGGTGCTGGGAACCACATTCAGGCCCTCTGCAAGAACAAGTGCCTTTAACACTGTGTTCTCTCCAGCCCCTTCAGTTGTAGTTTTGATTTCTACTACAGCAGAAAAAATTTTCATTTTGAAGATTTATTTATTATGTATACAGAATTCTGCCTGCATGTGCACCTGCAGCCAGAAGAGGGCACCAGATCTGATTATAGATCATTATGAGCCACCACATGGTTGCTGGGAATTGAACTCAGGACCTCAGGAAGGGCAGCCAGTACACTTAACCTCTGAGCCATCTCTCCAGCTCCTAGCAGGAAAGTTTTAAACCCTTGGACTAAAGAGTCAGAAAAAAATATCTTATTCACTGTAGTGTAACCTTCTTAAGAATTCTGGATTTTGGATTCTTTAAAAAACACAGAAATATAAGAAAGTGTTTCACTTTAATCCCAAGTATGGGGATATGGGGCTGTTTTAGACTGTCCACAGCAGCTGACTATGATTTGCCTCATGCTCTAGCAGAGGCATGGTTTTGCCAGCTGCAGGTAGTTTCTGTGACTGTGTGACATTTGGAATTCTGGGGACTTTTTGGAGGGTATATAAATGTGAGGGCCCCAAACGGCAGGGTTGGTGGTTGTTGGTTGGTCAGGGGGCTGGCTGCAGTTTGTTAGTAGCTGTGATCTAAGAAGAAACAAAAGGAAAGAAATTAGTTCAGGGACCTCTCTCCCTCTCTCTCCCTCTCTCTCTCTCTCTCTCTCTCTCCCTCTCCTCTTCTCTCTCCTCTCTCCTCTCCCCCCCTTTCCCTCTACCCCTTCTATCCTTCTTTCTCTCCTATCTAGTGATAGGGAGAGAAACTGGGGGTAGGGTGGGGAATAAAGGGCGGGAAAAGAAGAGCCCATGAGGTAGCAAATACCAGCTACCGTTCACCTTACTGTATGTTCCACAGTAGAAATTTACAGAAAGGATTATCAGCATGTAGCTGCTGTGTAACGTCCTGTTCCTCCAACAGAAAGCAAAGGGCAGTGCACCATTTCTACCAGGGAAGAACATGAGTAAGCAGATGAGTCTGCTCATGTACAGTAAACAGCTGAGCCGAGGATGACAACAGCTGGCTGCTATTGCTGGATGACAAGAAATAGTATTAGGTACGTTTTGTTGCTGCGATTTCTAAAGACCTGACAAGACAGGTTTATTCTGGTTCATAGCTTGATATGATATATGATATGATATGATATGATATGATATATGATCCATTTCTGGAGGAAGGAATGGCTCACACCTTAGCCCAGGAAACAGAAACGAGACAGGAAGCATGTTAGAGCTACAAACCTCAGGGCCTATGCTGGGTCCTATCTCCCCAAGCTTTCTGTAGCCTTCCAAAACGGTGCCATCACCTGGAGACCAACTGGATATACACATGGAGTGCTGCGTTTTACATTCAAATCCTAACAAGTGTGAAGAAGTGACATTTGGACAGATCTTACTGAAGAGAGGAAAGTGTACAACTGTCAATCCAGCTCCAGTGTATCTGATGCCCCCTTCTGGATTCCGTGAGCACCTGCGCTCACATGTGCACATACACACAGAAATGTGCACGTGTATATTGTTTAATTTTTGTCTTTATATTCCATAAAATATTACAGAAAAGTATGTTTCAATAAAAAGGCCATCATTTTAGCAACTCTGCCACTAATGAGTTTTTTGTGAATAAAATTTAAGAATGACTACTACCTGTCTTTAAATTCTCTTTTCTTTTTATAGAAACAGAACCATCAAAAATAGACAAATCTGTTACAACATTCTCTTATGTTTAATTTTAACTTTATGATAGATTACAGGAAGATGCTTATGAAACGAATATAATATTTGTTTTAGTACATGTCTTTAAACAATAGACTTACAAGTATACAAACAACTATATAATAAAGAATTTCCAAATATATTCTGTAAGAAATTCTAAAGCCAGGGGGTGGTGGCGTACACTTTTGATCCCAGCACTCAAGCGGAGGCAGGTGGACCTCTGAAAGTTTGAGGCCAGCCTGGTTTACAGAGAGAGTTCCAGGACAGTCAAGGATATACAAAGAACCCTGTCATGGAAGAACAAAAACAACAAAAAACATTTTAAATAAATTTTTCTAAAAAGTGATATATTGGGCTGGAGAGATGGCTCAGAGGTTAAGAGCACTGGCTGTTCTTCCAAAGGTCCTGAGTTCAATTCCCAGCAACCACATGGTGGCTCACAACCATCTGTAATGGGATCTGATGTCTTCTTCTGGCATGTTGGCACACATGCGGGCAGAATAATGTATTCATAATAAATAAATCTTAAAAAATATAAAAAATATTTTTTAAAAAAGTAATATAAAAAACATTTAAAAAACAAACACCAAAAATCTTCCGTGGATAAGTGAATTTAAACTTGTGTGTTTTCTTCTATCATATGCATAGTTTGACATAGCTACAGTCAGTTCTATCCCACACCAGCCACACTAACAAGATGCCAGTCAATACGTATGAGCATCTCACCAAGGCATCTCTGGGCCAGTCTGAGCTGACTGTAACTTATTGACCCAAAGCTGGACACTAGTATGGGGTTTTGTTAGGTTACACTATATGAGAGAAACAAAGTATCTTCAGTTTTCTTTATACTCTTAGCACCTACCATAAATTACTTCAATATTGGTAGGTGTGTAATGAATAAATGAATACCGTGGCTGTGACTAGAGGCACAGGTCTATAATCCCAGCTACTTGAGAGGGTGAGGCGGGAAAATTGATTTCAGGGCCAAGTTTTGTTAGGTGCTTAAATTTTAAAAAGGTGTGGTGGAGCACAGGCACTGTAGTTTACTGGTAGGCTCTTGTCTAGCATGTGCAAGCCCAAGTTGGATTCCTGGTCCTGCAAAAATAATTCAAAAGTAAATAACAAAATAAACCCACACAATGAATACTTTTAGATATAACTATTTTTTTCTGTTGATTATATTCTTAGAATAAATTTCCTTGCTATCAATGAATCATTTTTGGCACTGCATATTATAGCAGATTGTATTTTCCAAAGTTGGTCATGCAGATGTCCATGTGCCCGTGTTTGGTGAGTAAAATCTATCTTCTAGGCTATCCACGTGTAATGTGCGACATTCCTCAACCAAGTGGTAGAGGGCTGGGCTCCCTCCCTTTGAGACTCCTTGTAGCTCCCTTGGCAGAAACAGCTTAAGAAATGCTGGAGCTTCCAAGGCCTTTAAGGCTCTTGTCTCCCTCATTTCCCTCTTCTTTTCTCAGGAAAGCGGTCTTTGAATTTGAGCCACCATGCTATGAGGAAGACCAGGTGGCTTATGGAGGCTGCTGTGTGGGTACTCCACTAATGTCCTTCCTGTGACTGCTCTTCTTAACAGCTGGCACCACCTGCCAGACCCTGAGAGCACAGCATTAATAATGTTTGTCTTCAAAGCCCAGATACTGTGGAGCAGAAAGGAGCCACCCCCACTTAGCCTGCATCCCCGATGCTGCGAGAAGTGCCAAACAGTGTTTGCGGTGATTTCTTACACAGCTAGGCTGACTGCAATCCACGTGCAGGTCTACTGTACACTGGCCGCACAGCCACCAGCTGTAGAGGAAGGCGTGAGGCAGATTTCCTCAGCCTCATACATCTCAGGGACATGTATGCTCTGGGTCTCACTTTACACCTACGGTTTGTTCCTCTAGGGGGAATTGTTTGATTGCTGCTCACAGTTCTTAGGGGAGTCTATAGCTGAGCTGGCACTTGGTATATGTGTGCACGCACGCATGTCTTTGTACATTTGTTGAAAAAATGTAGTTAGAGTGTGCATTTGTAAGATTATGAGCAGGACTGACAGAGGCAGGTAGATCTCTGAGTTTCAGATTTAGCCTAGCCTGGTCTACAGAGCAAGTTCCAGGACAGCCAGAGCTATACAGAGAAACTCTGTCTCAAAAAAACAAAAACCAAAAAAACAAAACAAAACAAAGACCAGGTCACATTGGGCTTAGTTTCTTCATCAAAAAAGGCGTCTCTAAAAGCTGTCCTTCAGCATCCAGATGTGCACCACATTATGAGCGCACGCACACACATAATACAGAGACAAACATCACTTAAAAACTGTCAGTGAAGGGGTCTGCAGGTGTCTCTTTCTAGGCTTTCCTAGGTCAGTCTCTAGTCCAGTCAGGCATACTTAGGGAAATCTCATTCAGAGCACATGACCACAGTGCCCTGGGAGCAGAGGAGAGCATTCCTCACGCTCACTGCCTCTACCCCAATCTGGTGCTAACTGAGACATCGAGGCTATGGACAGATACAGCTCCAGATGGCTTGTTCTTTACAGCCATCTGCAGACCTTTTACTACTGAATCCATTTTCATAGCATCCACTGAAGGGGGTGGAGAGTGGAGCCCTCCAGACCTCCCTTCCTCAGATCTGGACTCAGCCAGCTGCCAGCTCCTTACTTTTCTGTGCTACCCCACCCACTGTGGAGCCCTCTGTGGTCTTCAGCACAGAAGATGTATTCACTGCAAATTCCAGCACAAGAAACTCAGTGAACTCTATTTATATAGTCCAGTTATTAACTCAGCAAATATTTACTGAGCACCTCACACACATTTGCTTTCAGACTTCAAGGAACTCCTAGTTCACGGGAGACTTGTTCTCCTTTCGTTCAGGCACTGCCCACCAGGAGGGTCATGAAATACACACCTGCAGACCCTACACTGGCAGTTTTTAAAAATTACATTGACTCATGTGTATGTGTAGGTAACACACTCCAGTGCACATGTGGAAGCCAGAGGACAACTTGCATGCGTCAGGTCTCCCCTTTCCCCACGTCCAACTCTGTTCGTCAGGCTTGGTGGCAGGCACCTTTGCCCACTGAGCCATCTCACCACCCCCCTCACCAACTTTACAAAGTACTGGCAGTGAGCGGTAAGGGGAAACAGATGTGGTGAAGTCAAGGTTGAGGAACAGTAAGCATTTCAATTGAGAGAGAGTTGTCCTGGCTACACAGAAACATGTGGTGTTGGTGTCCATTAAAGGGCCATATTAGGATGTGGCTTTTCCTTCAAGCTTGATCCAAGCCACTTAGTGTAGACACATCTAACCACTACTTTAAGGTCCTCCACACCAGGGATTTCTAAAATGGCCTCCTCCCTAACCCCTCCACCCCCAAAAAAAAGTTCATTAACGAACTCATGCAGAACACACTGACCTGAACCATGGTGTTGAATTGATTTAAAAGATGCTCAGAGCTCATGAGGGAAGCCATGCAAACCCTCAGGCCACCAGGTGTGGCGCCCATGGCTTCAGTGCAGGACTTCTGTAAGTCTCTCTCTCCCTAGTCATCAAGGCATGTCCAACCATGGGTGGTCTGGATGATACTCCCTTCTGAGGCACACAAGGGGCATTTCTTTGCAGCTGGAGTGCTGTAAATGGGTGCCTATACTCTGGGCCAAAACCACCAGAGCTGTTCTTGAGCCATTTGTTTGAGAAAGAGTCGTGCCTGGTTTGCTGCCTCCCCTGGAGTAGACTGCTCATTTCTAACTCCACCTTGTGGGATGAAGCTTATGAAAGCAGCCTGGCTGTTATTTTTTCCTTCTAGTTTAGAAGTAAAGCAGGAAAGGAAAGGGGGACAGCCAGGGCTGGGTGTGGAAGGAGTGCAGAGGACAGATATGGCTGGGCTGTGCAGCTGAGGTGGGATGTCAACTGTCAAGGCCATGGAAGGAATCACTGGCACCCCAGTGATTCCAAAACAACAAAGCTTTTTCCCTGTGCCTCTACGGCCCCTTTCTTTACTAAAAGCATCGTCAGCATCTTCCTATCACCTTACAACCAGAAATTCCGTATGAAGCCAGGTAAATGATGTATATCTGTTTGTGATCCTAGCACTACAGAGGCTGATGTAGCAAGATTCAAGGAGTTCAGTTAGCATGGACTACATAGTAAGTCCCTGGTTCACAGAACAAAACAAAGACAAACAAAAAACCCACCACACCACCACCAACAAAACCAAAACCACTGCTTTGCCCCACAGTTAGTTCATTCTGTCAAGTGGCTCTTTGAAGCCAGACTGATTTTACAATATTCACTTTGTTTTGGAGGCAGGATTTATTTATTTATTGAGACTGGATCTTTCAATGTGGCCCTGGTTGTCCTGGAATTCACTATGTAGAACAGGCTCGCCTCAAACCACCGTCCTAGCCCTGGGATTGGTTATTTTCATGTGGGTTGCTAGGAAATATCTTTGGGGCCCATGCTGTCCTTGGTGGTGTACTTGGGCCACACCCACCATTGCTTGGTCCTCTTCTTCCTCACTCCATAAAATCCATCATGAGCCCTCAGTCATTCAGGGTGGAAAGAAATGGAATTACTGATATCTATCTACTGAGATATAGCTCAGGCCTGATAGGATGTAACCATCCTAGACTTGGTGGGAAACTACTCAGTGACCCATGGTTAATGGGCCCTGGTTGTGCCTTCCCATCCTAGTTGGTCAGACAAGACATCCTTCCCTGAAGCCTTCCTTCGAAAGAGCCTGCTAATGCTCAAAGACTCTGACATATTCCTGAGAAGGCCAGCCAGCCTCTGCTGGGTTTTCACTGCTTTGACCTATCTGGAACAAAGTGCTGCTCTGGCTACACTCCAGGTTCCCGAGGAAGGCCTGCAGAGTACATGGACTTGGTCCTGGGGTATTGCTAAACAACTTAACTTTCTCAGCAGTACCATGTGGCAGGTGGAGTTCTGAAACACTTCTGCACTAAGAAAGCCACTGTCAAGTGGTGTACCTGATTGGCCCATCTTCCCCTGAGGGTACTCTATCCATAAATTGGTACACCAAATAGCAGTATCCTCAGCTCAAGCTGGTCACCTGCAGTCCTTGTGTGAAGATGAGCTACTCATCCATTTCCAAATATGTTGGTAGGAAGGCTGATTGCCAAAGGACACAGGTCTCATTTTCTGGAGAAAAATGCTGGCTAGCTAGCATGGTTAGGAGCAGGCAGCAAGTTTAAGCAGAGTGAGTCTCATGGAGGGAGGACCATGTAATTGGAGCATTCCCAGAGACTGCAGAGGATGAGGAGAGACAGCAAGCAGAGAATGTCACAGCAGGAAGCAGGCTACACTGGCTAGAACCAAAGATTTGGGTGCAGAAGGCCCAGCTTGGGCCAGATGTAGAGGGCTTTAAATGTCAGGCTTAGGAATTTATCAAGGGCATGAAACAATCAAACAGGTGTTTCAGGAAGACAAATGTGAAGAGAATGTACAGGATGAATTGGAAAATCTGGAAGCATGGCAACAATTAGAAGGCTATGAGATTAATTAGGCTGTTACAGCGGTCCTGTGTGAGTTGATAAGCGTACAAATGGGAGGAGTGGTGGCAGAAATGGAAAGGGACAGCTGTGAGGGACATTGTTAAAAAAGAATGGATGAGGTCTGCTGCCTGATTGGACTGGGGACGCAGGGAGCTCAAGGAATCAAGGCTGACACTGCAGTGGTGAGCACGAGCACCTGGCAGTGTAACGGGCACAGAAAGGGATGTTAAAAGGCCTCAAAGGTTTCAGGAGACGTGAATGGGGTCCAGATGCAGAGTATACAGACAGATACCCAACTGCAGGTGTCTGACAGGGTCCTGGGTGAGTGAGAACAGAGCTCAGGAGAGACGTAGTGCACACTGATTAGTTTGGGGATCAGGCTGAGATGTGAGTGAATCTTTGAGATGAATGGCTCAACAAGGAGCCTCTGCAATGGAGGAAAGGACCAAGGCAGCCCTCTGGAGAAGGCCACATGGAAGTTTTCCATTGCAAAGCCAAGCCGAGAAAGAACCATTCTGCACACATTTCTTTACCATTCAAACATCAGCTTGAAGAATATATTAGTTTGAGAAAACCAAGTAACAG